CTCAGTGAGTTTGGGCCAAAATAAGAAACAGTTTTCTATGGGCGATTTGGGGTAGGGTATTCCTAATAGTGGAGACATGAAGTCCTTATGCCCTCTGTGACTGGAATAAGTTTTCTGTGTTCATGAAACAGAAAGATGTCCAGAAAGTTTACAGCAGAGTGGAGGGAAAGGAAKGGCGGGAGGATTGTCACTCAGACTTTAATAGCAAACACCATAGGCCAAGTCCTGGACTCAGCATTGGGATGCAAATCCAAAGAAGGCACACTCTGCCTCCAAGAAGCCTAAAAGTACCTACAGAGACTAATAGAGACTCCATATGCTTATAAAATGAAATGTTAAGTGTTTTCCAAGACATGCACAAAATGTCACAGCTTCCAACATCTACAAGGAGACTTTTGGGGTCCRCTTAAGAATCAAAACCACATTATTCTGTATTATTCCATGGAGCTGCCATATCAAAACTCAACTTTCATCATGTACATTTCTCCAACATTTTATTTTTAACTCATCCCAGAAAAACAGCATCATTCAGTCTCAAATTCTAGACACACGACAGAAGGTGAGTTCCCTCTTTGATGCACACCCAGGCAACAATTCACTTTCCTAGTTGATGTTTTATTTGGGGAATCTCTGAAATATGAAACACAAGCAGTGAAATTACTGAGTGATTTGTTCATGCTTAGTGAAGATCTCTGAATGACACMCACACAGTTAACCATCTCAGACTCTCAGCAGCTAATGCCTCTGCTTTTCCATCCCCCAGGGCACAGTCCTACCCATAGAAAGCCTCTGTTCTGACGCAGGGCACTCTGCTGAGGCCAAGTCAGACTCCATAAAAGGCCAAGTTTAAATGACACATTTGGACTCAACCACTTGGCTACCTTCTTGTACACAGCCTGCCTTTTAGAGTTGGACCCAAGTCCCTGGAGGGCAAAGTCCACGTGAGAGTGGAAAGCCCTCATCCTTTTCCACACTCCTATTCAGTGGTTCCTGAAAGAATCACTCAGTAAGTCTTTCTTGGTTGACCACAGTTCCACTGTAAAACAAAATGATAGAGAAACTCGAGAATGGAGTCAAACTGAATATAAGCAGAGGGATATTTTCGTTTTGTTTTCATCTATCTATTCAGTAAAGATTTGCCAAAACCCAATGCTCAAGGCCTTATAAGGTGTAATCTTTGCTTTCTGAGACCTACTCTCAGTCCACAACAAGAGAGAGAGTTAAACAACATTCAAAGTCTAAGCTGAAATGTGTGGGCAGACACCAAATACCACCTAGGGATGAGGGGAACACAGAATTCATGGGACCTCAGTCGGTGGAGGGAAGCTTGGTATACAGAGCTGGGTAGTGAAGTCTCAAGGTAACACTCCAGTCTTGTTGCMGGCTCCTTGTGATTTTAGGTAAATTCCTATGTGATTTTAGGTAAATTCTCCTTCCTGAGCTTCAACTTCCTCATCTATAAAATGGGCAATAATTAACTCTGTTTCATAGAGTTGTGAAGATTAAATGCACTATGTACCTAAAATTTTCTTACTATTCTAACTGATCAATAATAAACGGTAGTATACATTTTATTAACATTATTACTGGTGCCTCCTAATCTAGTTTAAACCTTCCTAGCTATGCCACTTTAATCAAGTAATGCTAACTCTTCATGCCTCAGTTTATTCATCTGTAAAATGGGGATAATAATCATCATAAGAACTATGTTATAAGATTATTATCAGRGGTAAATAGTAATGTTATGAGGGTGAGTGACAGGTTAGATATTATATAATACATTTAATATTCCCTAACATACAGTGAGTGCTCAATAGACTTTGACTAATAGTATTATTGTTGTAGATTCTGTTTTATGTAACCTCACTTTCCTTAAAAATATGCACACAGAATATCAGCAGGAGGGCAGAAAGTGTGGGAGATTGCAAATTGTTTGCAATTCTTTTCAGACTGTCAATGGCATGTTAGGTGAAAGGTTTCCCAATACCTTCACAAAATCATTAGAGCTAATTGGACAAAGTAAAACATTAGAAAAAAGTTTCCTCAAATTAGAATCTGCTCCTGAAGCWTTTATTCTTTGGAGACTGTAAAAAATCCTCAGAAAAGGATCCTAGTGAGAACAAAGCAGAATAAAATGCATTAGAACAAAAGTCCTCTGCTGGTTATGAGAGAAACTACAACCCCATAGCAAGGTAGATTAGGATGGCCTTCCAGGGCACAGTAGACATGATTAGGTCACTTGGTCAATATTAGGCAAAAGAGAGAGAGAGAGAGAGAGAGAGAGAGAGAGAGAGAGAGAGAGAGAGAGAGAGAAGGAAGGAAAGAAGGAGGAATGGAAGGGAAGGGAAGGAAGAGAGAAAGGAAGGGAGAGAGAGAAGAAGGAAGGGAAAATAAGTGTGTACATTTAAAAAAAAATTCTTCTACACACGCATTAAAAATAGACTAATCCATAATCCTGAACCACTAGGTTATTGTAACACAAAATCAGGTTATGTAAAAATTTAGCAATTATCACCAAACAAAATACATTCTGAAATTCCTACTTGCCTCTCTGAACATAGAATTAGAAAATTTAGAGCAACTAAAGCAACCTTTCTTCTTCTAATACATTAGAGTCTAAAAAGAAAGAGGATAATCCCAAGAGGCATGAGTTTCCTACACACCAGTTGCCCATTACACCAGGTGCCCAATTCTGATCCTAAATCAGGGACATGGACAATAGTTGATGTCAGTTAGACCCTAGCTCATCTAATCCCTGCCCTGGAAGACTCCATCCACTAGAGGGTCTTTCATCTGCCAATCAGGACACATTCAGTATCTGGAGCTGGCACAATGGCAGGGGATTTTCTAACATGGTCTTTTAATGCATGGTCAGGTTGGGGTCAATTCTAGGATCTAGAGAAAGCTCTGCCTTATCTTCATTTGTTCATCTATACTCAAACAAGACCCCTGTGTGGAGAGCATATGTATAAATACAAACATTTAATGCCTGAAAGAAACAGGGATGGGGTCACCCACCACCACCAYCCCTGACAATTGGGAAAGATGCATGAAATCAAAGACAAAGAAAGAGAAGTCATCTAGTACCTGATAATGTGATTTGAAAGAGAAGCTGCTCCCCACCCAGGCCTGTCCCATGGCTCAGGTTCTGCTGAATGCAGCCACTCTTTGCCTCCTTCCTAAGTCCTGATTCTCATGAGCTTTGTGGGCTACCTTTTGGAAACCAGATTGTGGCTACTTTTATCAAATCCTCCCTATAAGAATCATAGTCAAGGCTGTTTATTTTTCTTCAAATCTCTATTTAGCCGACTACCTTCCACCTTCTCCTTGAGGGGAAAAATCCCATTTGTATTTAAAATGGTTCCCATATGAAGATGCCTCTATTTTGTCCCTGGAGGACTTCTCCTCACAGCCCAGGATTAGGGACAAAGGAGTCATCCAGAGAACATTAAATTTCATTGACTATATTACTTCAGAGGTTCATTTTTATTTTTCTATATATGTAATCTAAAATTACTGCATATTTRTAATTCCCATGAAACCCCTTTATAAAAAGATACACAGTCATTTTTGGAGAGGGGATAGCTGGATGTTTTATCTTCATCCAAAGTAGTTCCTCAAGAGCTCAGTGGAAGAGGTGGGCTTATTGAATGAATGAGTAACTAGGAGTTCATTGGACCCCATGGGGTCTAGCTCCCAAAAGACAAAGGATCTGGGGATGCCTTTAGCTCTGCGTGGTTCCTTAAATCACACACTTCCTTTGGCAATGTCCAAATAATTTAACACAGTATTGCTGGTGACCCCTCCTCAACATTTCCTTTCCTATGGGTATCATCTTAAGCAAACAATCTGGTTTTAGAAGAACAGTCCTCAGTGGATAAAATAGTGGATACCAGTATCAAGGTTATCTTTCCAAGAATCTTCATGTGCAAAGGATGAAAATACTGTTAGGTTTCCTTGTGTCTAATTCAATTCCTTGGCTTGTAAAACTTTATTAAAGAGGTCATATTAAGTCAAAGAGAGTCAGGGAAGTCATTCCTATGAAGCTTTCTAACTTTTACCTCATGATTACTCTTTAAAAATTCCAGGGAGTAAAATATTTCATTGCAATCATTACGGTGTTGCCCTCATGTGAGTGGTATGATTTGTCAACACTGGAAATGGAGTTAGTGTTTCTGTAGGAAAGGTAATCAAGGAGGTAGAATCCTCCTACTTTACACAAAGCATAGCCAAGATTATTCATTTCCTCCTCCCCAGTTCCTCTAAGCCTTAACCCCCAAAGCCAATCGAGACCCATCTCAACACTGAAACCTAGCTTCTGTTCCATAGATGAGTTTTGMACACACTGCTTTGGTGGACACTATGAACAGAACAGGGTCCATCAGTGTAAATGACATTTTCCAAAGACAAATCGGACTCCATGACTTCAGCCTCAGAAAACCACATTCAGTTTGGAGAATGCCTCTCTGCCCACCAGTTCATGGCATGGAGACACCCTGTCACAGTCAGGCCCAGGACAAAACAGATGCACTGCCAGAATCCAGGAGCTCTAGTAGGCAGCTCCCTATGGCATGGAGGAGTGAGGGCATTTGTATGAGATAGACCCTTCCTATGGGTCTCATTAACTTCAGAGAAGACTATTCACATTGAGCCTCAGCGGGTCCCCAGTCGCTAGGACCACCAGGCTCAGTCCAGAGGGAGCCAGGATCATTGCCCTCAGTCTCAGAGACTACCTGGCCCAGCTACTCCTCACCCTTACCAAATCGCTAAGCCAAGGAGGTCAATTTAGGGGCAAACAGCTCACCACCAGAATCTGAGCATTTCCCTATGACTGTCACATCCCCAGGCAGAGTACCCAATTCGTTTATGAATTGTGCAACCCAGGGAACCAGCAACCTCTCTGCCAGCCTTGGCATGCTACAATGCACACACCTGCACCCCTGCCCCTCACCCTAAGCCCATACAAATCATCCTCAATTCGGAGAGTGGCAGTTCCCTACCTGAGGGTGGCGCTCTCCCCTTGCCGGACCGTCACGTTGTCCATAGCTTTGGGGAAGGTGGCATCTCCGCTGCGCAMGGGCACTCCTGTGGGTACAAGGAACAGCAGCCTGAGAGACACGACCACGAGGCACTTCCAGGGCAGGAACAGGTACCCACAGACCCCCATCCTCGACAGCCACAACTTCCCAGAACTCCGGCAGCTGCACGGCACACGCCCCCTGGGCGAGCACAGGAAGTGGGTGGGGTGGGGGAGCAGGCACAGGGACTGAGCGGTGAACTAGCCGCAACCGCGAGGCGCGGGGAGGAGAAAAGCGCGCAGACTCCTCCAAGTCTAATATTCCTCTCTCAAATCCAGCCTCAGCTTGCCAGCCTCGGAGAACCAGTTTCCACGAAAGACATCCGAAGTGGGCTTTCTCCGCGCCGCTTGGGCCAGGGAAGGTGGCAGAGAAAGGGGAAGCGCGAGGCAGGTGCAAGGTGCACGTTTCAGGAACCGCTTCTTCCCATTAACAGTTCAGACATGGCACTTTGGAGAGGAAGTAAGCACTTTGGTACCAGAAAGGGAATGGGGTGGGTTTCATCCAGCTACCCAGATGTGGACTGCAATTCCTCAGTTCGAACAAGGGGAAATCCAACACTTTCTTTGTAAGTTTCCGAGAAAGGCTGRTCACCAGAAACAATCTGTAACAATAGCAGATGGAAAGTAGAGCACGCAGGAGGCGACCAGGGTTGTGCSAGGTGACCGCTAAGCAGGCTTCGTGCAATCCAGAACCAGGGATCCTGCCGCAGCCGCCTCGGTCAACTTCCTCGGAAGCCAAATACGCGGTGCAACCGCCTCGATCAGGGCGGTCTCGGCGGGGCAGTGGCCTCGGTGGCGGCCGAGGCAGGAGCAGTGGGGCAGAAATGGAGTGCGGCGGCCCCTTGCTCGCTCTCTGGCTCGCTGGCTCGCTGGGGAAGGCGAGGCGCAGCCGGCACCGGAGCCGCGCGGACGCCACGCTCAGCGGCCGCCCCCGGCCTCCGCGCCGCCTTCCTCCCGGGAGCAGCCCCGACGCGCGCGGGCCCAGACCGCCAGGGTTGTCATGGCAGCAGCTCCATCCCTGACCGCTACTTTCTCCCGGTGCAGACTCGGAGCTAGCAGGCGGGCGGGCGGCGCGGACTGCGCGCTCATCCCAGCGGGTGCGGGGCGCGGGGCGCTGGCGCCCACCTTAACCCCCGCCGCGCCAAGCCGGGGCGGTGCACCAGCCCAGGCCAGGAGTTTAACCATTTTCCGCCTTGCAGAGCCAACACATCCCAAATTAAGAAGAAAGACAAAGTTACCATGCTGTCTTAATAAACCTAAGACGTCTTAATAAGGGTCACAAACTGTAAAAGGAAGACCCTGCAGCAAGCATACATGCACCTTTAAAATAATCAGATTAAGTCCATTAGCATTTAGAGTAAATTCAGAGTGTTGGATGTTTTAAAATAATTTCATTTTTTTAAATCAATAATAGAGCACCCACCCCTACAACCACCCCTTGCCCAAAAGCTACTTAAAACCCCAAGGACTCAATACTACCATTCCACCATTCTCAGAGATCTCCCATCTATAAAATGGGAAAATCAYAGAAACCTCAGTGTGTGAAAACAGGCAAAGTCGCTTCAAAATGTTGGTCAAGTTCTGACAATGGCTTTCTTTATTCTTGTTTTGTGGACAATAAAAGATGCCAGCCCTGCAGAAGTGCTGCCTGAGGTGGATGAGTGTAAGCTCTTGCTTTATTTATACTGCAGACTCCCGGGTTCCCTGGGTTTCACACTCTTGCACAGCTGATTTCATCTTTAAGAGGTGTGGTTTTTAAATTATTCTTGAAACCCAGGGAAAGATTGGATATGCCTCAGTTCCTGTTACTCATCCACTCTGCCTGCTGTCCCTCTGTGCCTAGGTTATTGTTTCTCCTGTCACTTCAGCTCTGATACAGTGTGGTATAGGCCCCTTACTGGGCCTCATCCTTGTGCAAGTGAACAGAGAAGGCCAACCAGCTCATGGGTAACAGGCTCTGTTCTAAAAAATTCCAATATCTGAGATCCCAGTGCAGACCTAAATTCTCTCTGCCTCCCCTATCCTTCAGACTTTTCATCCAATTTAACCGTGATGTTTAAAAAAAAAATACAAAATATCAGAAAAATGTTCTTCCTCAAACACATTCAACACCAAAGTGACTGAATCATTATACCTCAATTATTGTAATTATCAGACACTTGTGTCTTAATAGGACCCTTACAACTTTTGAATTTTGACTAATACCAATAATTTTCAGGTAGATAACATGTTAAGAATGACACAAGTAAAGTTCACTCATCATATCCCATTCTTACTAGAGGGGGTCAAAACAGAGGTAGGTTTTTGAGATGTGGCCCAAACATCAGGGTAACACAGACTAAGGAAGTTTGTCTTTCTTTTCAAATTGTTGATTGGATAGTCAACAACTTTTCATAGTTGAGCAACATATTAAAACACATTCTCTTGAAGGTCTCAAAATACTATGCATTAATTCATCATTAGACCAATTTCCCTTCATCCCCTCTGGTAACTTTTACTGATWGTAAATTCTTAGGGAAAGCCATCTGCTACCTTTGGCCACTTGGGACCGTTTGATATATAGCAACCAAAAATACCAATTGTCGATTTATGGCAGCAATGAATGACTTTAGTATAAAGAAGAAAAAATACATCTATGGGAGCAAAAGGATTTCGTTTATAGTTTTGAAAGAATGGGAAGAGAATTAACCTATTTTAGCACCAGTCCATTCTTGTGAGAGCCTATATTTATCTCCATTTTCCAATGGGACATTGTGGAAATAGGAAATTGAATGATTTCACCACATTGAGCTGTTATGTGAGAGCAGACATAAGGTGTAAGATTATATTTGCTGATTTTCAGCCTGAAAAAATTTGGGATTCTTCCCCAAAAGCCAAAGGGGTGACCTTTTTCGTTTCAACCATCTTTCCTGCTCCCCCATTCCAGTATCTCTTCTTATATACCACATCATACCACATCAAGTGGAAACAAATACTAGTCATGGAGAAGAGAGAGGGACTCATTCTGGGATCTGGAGTCATTTCCCTATAGGGCTGAGAATAGCAGGGATGATTCCTTCTATGATAAATTCTTATTCAGTCTCTTGCATCTAATTCCCAGGTAGGTACAAATGAGCATTAGTTTTTGCATCTAGGAATGTGGATAATGACTACAACAGTTCCTCCCAAGGGGCCTACATACATGATTAACTCTACAGGAAAATACTTAGAAATCCATTTAAGATGGAAGATACTTTATTAATACATTTTTCCTGCCACTACTTCGTTATTATGTCAAGCCAGAAAAATAATTCTTATAGGCCCTTTAAGATGAGCAGTTTATAGCCATCCGAATACAGTTGATCTAAGACACTCAAACCATCTTTGTCTCTGGCCATRAGAAAGGATGCTGAGCTGCAGCGTCCTAGCAATTGCCAGCAGAAAAACCAGCAGAGCTCAGGTAACTCTCAGGGCAGACAAAGAAAATCCCCTCACAACCTCATACCTGCTTCTTGGGCCCTGAGATCCAAACTTGATTCACAAATGGAAGTTAAGGAAATGGCAAAAGGTCAGAGATGTCCATAGATTAACAAGAAAGGATCAATTTTATTCAAACCTCTTATTGGAGTGGTTTGAAAAGATGAAGATCAAAATCATATGTCAATTGCCTTCCCATCCTCTAATCCCTAAATATAACCAGCACTTAGTGGCTTATCTTATATCCCATCTCTTGCTTCATAAAATCATAAAAACTGCTGGATTTATTTTATTTTTCCCAGCATATCCAAGTTAATGAAAAAGGGATGACAGTCGGAGCAATTTCATTATTTGTGTTCTTTATAGAAACAACTTCCTCTCTGCCTCCTGGAAAGCAGATGCCTAATGAGCGCCACCTCCACCTTCTTCCTCCCATCTCCCTCTCCTTCCTCCCTTCCTTCTTGCATACACATATACTGTACACATAAATCAACTTGTCACAGCTTGTCTCTGTACTGACAGCTGTAATTGCTTCAGGTTATAAAAATATCTATAGGACAATGCCTTTCAAACTCACAGACACACACACTCACAGAGACACACTAGGTGCGTGCATGCACACACACACACACACACACACACACACACACACACCATTGCCTGAGTGAAAGAAAACAATCATAGTCCTTTTAATAATCTTGGGGCTGCAAAGCAGGGGAGGGCAGAGGAGATCATTGGAGTGCTGGCAGGCGGGGGAGAAGACAGGAGTGGATGGAGACTTCTGGCAGCTCCAGCATCTATTCACTGAAGCAGGGGTGGAACAGGAAAGAATTCCCCATGAAAGGGAAGTCAGCTGGGTTTGGGGTTTTTTTTGTTTCGTTTTGTTTTGTTTTGTTTTGTTTTAGTCTGTGTTACCTACAGCAAGTCAGAGTAAGCTAAAGAGCTGTGACTATTCCACCACACAAGACACCAAAAGAAGAGCACTAGCTTAAGAAATGCCAGTCCTACTTCTCCTTTTCTACAAAGGCGAAAGGCCCCCCTCTCCTGGTGGAGATTTCAAACAGAAGTGCAGGCCTGGAGATGAGAAATGCAGGGCAGTTAAAGAGTGGYGGGACATCAAATGGTTATTGGAAGATTTAATCAGAAAAAGCAGTGTAAATCTGGATAAAGAGATGCCTCCAGGGGTGTACGGAAGGGCTGGGCTCTGGAAAAATACATGCTATTTTTTGCTCCTTTATGAATATAGGATCAAAATAAAATCGTTGCTCGTCTGGCCTGCAGTCCAGCATGTTAGGATTTCAGCAGGAAGAGCAAAAGGGTAACTTGAAGAGTGCTCCAGGGAGAGAAAAGGGGTCAGGAATAGAGAGAACCAAGAAGGAGGGTATGAAGGAAAGGCCAAGGTGTGGCTTTATCTACACTTTGAAAGCAATAAAACTTTATAAGAGATGCATAAAGCAGAGAGATGGTATGAAGAATAATTGGAGGTAGGCAGAAAATTAATGAGGAGCAGGATGGATGAGTCAAAATCAAAGTGCCAAGAAAGCACAAGGCAAGTACCCAGAGGACACGTCCCAAGAGTCAAGGGTCATTGGGGCAGAACTTTCCTTATGTAGGTTTTAGGTCACGGTAAGACCCTAGACTCATAGAATCACAGAATGATATGCTCAGAAGGACCTTGGAAGGTGCTTAGTATAACTAATTCATTTCCTAAGAGAGGGTTTGAGCCCCAGAAGGACATAAGGGGACATAAAGTTAATAACCAGCAACACAGGACAAGAACTTATTCCTATTCCTGTGTTCTTTTCACTACACCTGTCAAGTAGTGACACTGCTTCACAGCTAGATAATAACATTTCTGCTTTTACTGCTTCACTGGTGGGACAAAGAAAGAACCACTAAGGGCATGATACTTTAACTGCTCAGTATACCTCTGCATGTCCAGTGAGAGTCAGTCATCTCTCTCTCTCTCTCTCTCTCTCTCTCTCTCTCACACACACACACACACACACACACACACACACATGATATATGGGCTGGGTATGTGGGACTCAATGGTTAAGTTCCCCTGGGTTCAATCCTCCGTACCAAATATAAAATGTAGGGAAGTAATTTGTGTATTCAATAGATGTCTGTTTAACACACACTCAGAAATGGCTAGAGCAGTGAAAGGGAGACAAAAACAAAAGTCGTSAGGGCCTTTCTCTCTTACGGCAAACTGTATAATGGGGAGACAGATGGATAGTAAGCAAAGAATTTCACAAAATAAGGGATGTAGTTATGATGAATACTGTGAAGAAGAA